GGTCTCCACCCTCCTTTACCACCTATTGATTTTTAAAAAACGGTAATTCACATTCCAAGGCAAATATTTTTTTCAAAAGACATGATTTTTTCGTAAAAATTCAAAATGTTAAGATTTAACTTTTTCACATGCATGAATAATTTATACATTTCAACTTTTCCACAAATGAAACCGTTTCTTTTAAAAGTTTATACCTAGAAAGGTGACAGGAAGAGGAGCAATGAACGGTAATCGCAGACTTGGAACTAAAGATCTCCTGTTTCTACTCACAGGTCCTAAACAATAATTTGGTTTTCTTCAGTTGATTCGTAAAGGAATTAAGTAATAATTGTAGTTCAGATTGTCAGTAGTCCAATGGATATAGCATCTCCGACATTGAATGAATTAAATGTCGTCCTCTATCTCACAACATCTTCCTACGAGGAATTTGCAATATGCACAGTGTGACTCTTAAAGGGAGTGTGCTAGTTAGAAGAGCTAGTATAATATCCCTAATATATATCCACCAAAAATATAACCATGGACCCAAAATTTAGGTTGAAATAGAATAGAATAAAAATAGAATAGATCAAAAATAGAATAGATCAAAAATAGAAAAGAACAAAAATAGAATAGAACAAAAAAAGAATAAAACAAAAATAGAATAGAACAAAAATAGAATAGATCAAAAATAGAATAGAACAAAATTGAATAGAACAAAAACAGAATAGAACAAAAATAGAATAGAACAAATATAGAATAGAACAAAAATAGGATAGAACAAAATAGGATAGAACAAAAAAAGAATAGAACAAAAATAGAATAGAACAAAAATAGAATAGAACAAATATAGAATAGAACAAAAAAGAATAGAAACCTCCCCCTTGTTGATTGTGATTTGTAAAGCATCTCAAACATTTTCACATTACCTTTTGTGAAGTGAACATGTCTCGAACAAAAAAATATCATTTACACAGTATATGGAAATTACAAAAAAGTTTACTTAAATTACAGTACTAGTTTATATATTTAACATAAATCGAACATTTAAAAATAACAAATATTTAATAAGAATCAGGATGAATTTTATAGACTGTCTTCTCGAGGAAATCATAGATTGGCTGAGGGGCAGTCCATTTTAAGTCCAACCACACAAAATTACTAAAAAAATACAAAAATAACAAAACAAAAGCACAAAATTGATTAAAAACAACTAAATCTCAAAATTGCCAATTACAAACAACACTGGAAAAAGAAAAATATTGGTCCAGGTATTTAACCCGTTGCAAAGATAATTATATGCAAAAATAAGAGTATGCAAAAATTACATTTTTTATTGTTTTGAACGTCTTTCTACGATCGTTTTTACGTTTGCCAATTTGAATAAGAATTAAGAATAAAATAGATGATTTGATTTTAAAACTTAATAAAGATAAGTTTAAAGTTTTAAGCATAATTGACTACACTAAATTAACCAAATTAACTCCAGGAAAAAATATCATGACATGTATTGAAAGGAAAGGGACCATAATTGTAATTTCAAGGGACCCACGCATATAATGAAGCCAATGCCCGATTCACAATTCGGTAATCTTGAAACCTTTTTCTGATCAATAATGTTGAAAATGTCTTTTCTATGTTTTAATCTGATTTTTCTGACAATTCCTTTATATTTTCTTACAGTAGAACTGCGCAGGTCACTTTTGTATAGAAACCACAGTTGATAAGAATTAGCTTTCAAATCATAAAAATTGATATTTTAGATTTTCAGAGTACTGTTCTGAATCAGTCCATTTGCCATATTTGCATGGAAAATCAGCTGAAATTACGCTTATGGTCCCTAGCTAGCAAATCTAGCAAAACCAAGTCAAGTTGGGGAAGTGGGTAATTAATGTTTTTAATGGAGAGGATTTGTTTTTTAAATATTACCTTCCATTAACAGCAGTTGGGAAGAAAACAATCCTGGTTCCTGAGGAATTGAAAAATTCATTTCATCTTTTTGTTTACAAATGCTACATGTCAACCAATCAGTAGGNTAGAACAAAAATAGAATAGAACAAAAATAGAGTAGAACAAAATAGAATAGAACAAAAATAGAATAGAACAAAATAGAATAGAACAAAAACAGAATAGTACAAAAATAAGATAGAACAAAAATAGAATAGATCAAAAATAGAATAGAACAAAAGTAAAATAGATCAAAAAAGGATCAAAAATAGAATATATCAAAAATAGAATAGAACAAAAATATAAAATAACAAAAATATAATAGTATAAAAATATAATATAACAAAAATATGATAAAACAGAAATATAATAGAACAAAAACATAATAGTACAAAAATATAATAGTACAAAAATATAAAAGTACGAAAATATAATAGTACAAAAATATAATAGAACTAAAACATAATAGTACAAAAATATAACCATAACGAATATATAACGGACCAAAATATAACCATCAAAATATATTATGTTTTTAATATTATTATATTATATTTTTTAGAAATTATATTGTATCTTTACTATATTAGTCCATAATAAATATGTACCATTATGTATTATATAGTATGTATTATAGTTTTAGTAGATGTACATATTTCCTTACTGTTAGCGCCTATTGAAGGATTCATAACTCTGAATGGATAATGAGATAGCTAGAAAGATAAATGTTACCGCCATACTATTTCTATTGGTTCAGAATAGACAACATACACATGACTGCACCCTGATTGGATCAGGCGCTAATGGACTGGGCATACAGGAGTGATGTATAGCAATTTAATATTATTTTTAGTCCTTATAGACCTTTCTATAGTCTTAAAAGTGATTTCTAGCCCCTTCTACTTCTTTCTATTCCTTTGAAGTCCATTGTAGCATTGTAGCCCTTTTCAATCAAATTTATTCATTGAAAGACCTTTATAGTATTTTATAGTTCTTTGCAGTCAATTGATTAACCTTTCCTCAAAGTACTTCAACGTCTTTTTAAGTTCTCCAAAGTCCTCTACACTTACAGTCCTTTCTAGTCAATACCATTTACAAATTATAAAGGCATTTTCTACTTAACTTAGTAGCAAAAACAACAACGTCAAATTTGAAGACAAAGTCATATTTTCTAAAGAATACCATCCTCACATGCGAACTAGAAAGAAGGAGTGGCATTACTGGTACAAATTTGTGGCCTTGTGGCTACTCTTGTTTTGAATTTATGAAAAGTATGAAAAAACCAAATTTATCCGTTTATAGGGTGTCTTAAGAAACATGACAGTAGAAAGACAATTTAAATGTTTCCTTTGGTCATTGAAATAATTTTTGGATTTATTCGTTGATAATCACAAATTTTCCTAGTCCGGGCTTCTCAAAAAGTGGTCTGCCTTTTTACCGGAGATATGAAGAATTTGTTAAGATCTTATTTTGGTTTTTAATAATTTAATATCGGAACTCAAGTCTTAATATCTCCTACGATGTCAACATCGCAATAAAAGTAGACCACATTTCGGAAATGCCAGGCTCAGGACTAAAAACATTTGATTATTATTGTTTTAAGAATTTTATATGTAAAAGCAGGTGACGACTGATTGCCGCAGATAATTTCAAACATCAAAGACGACCTTCAAGCAGTCTTGCTTCTGTCATGTTTAGTAGGACACCTTGTATTAAAAATACACAATTCGTTTAGGATAATTTCAAACTTACGTGCAATTTACTTTAGTTTGACATGCAATTTACTTTAATTGACGTGCAATGTACTTTGGTTTCACATGTAATTTACTTTAGTTTGACATACAATTTACTTTGGTTTGACATGAAATTTACTTTGGTTTGACATGCAATTTACTTTGGTTTGACGTGCGATTTACTTTGGTTTGACGTGCGATTTACTTTGGTTTGACATGAAATTTACTTTAGTTTGGCGTGCAATTTACTTTAGTTTGGCGTGCAATTTACATTAGTTTGTCATGCAATTTGCTTTAATTTGACGTGCAATTTTAGTTTATTTTGCTCTAGCTCTAAATTAAGCTCTTCTTCTTCTAATCGACTTACTAACCTTGATCAGCTGAATATGACTTTAAATGTTGAAACGACATTGAAAGTCCGAGAGACAGAGCAATGATTGTGGCAAAAAGATGTATTTTTACTTCCCCCATTTTAGACTTTAGTCTGAAAAATAGTAATCCTTGATGATTATTTATCTAGATAAAGAATTATTGTATTTCTTTTTTTTCTGATAACCTCTATTTCATGCTTTTTTATTTTATTCCTTTTTACTCTGAATTTAAATTCTTTCACTTGGTAACATGTTTTTTTTTCCATCATAGGAGAGATCGAATATGTATATCTATATATATATGCTAGGCTTTTAGGGCGCTTCGCGCCCAACTTCTATTTAAATTGTGAACATGTTATTTTTGTTTACATTTTAAAACAAAGAAGAAAAAAATTTTGCGGATTTTTAAAAAGAATTCGCGGATTTTCAAGAATTCAATTTTTTTTACAAGATTTAAAACCTTATAAAACACATTTTTTTTATCATTCATAAACCTTCCCTGTGGTCACGTGATGTCCCACAAAAAAATTGGGCCCGATTGGTTCATCCGTTTTGACGTTTATTGGATACAAAAAACAGACAGACAAGCCAAATTTATATATAGAATAGATAGATATATAGAAATAGGTGTGATAGAAATAATATCTTGCGGATCTTTTTTAAGGGTCTTATACAGAGGGGATGATAGTTCTCTACCTGTGTGATCAGAGTCAGTTAGCTGTACTGTATACACTTACAACTGTTTACTAATATTGATATACTATGTGGTTAGGCCAGAATCTTCTTATAATAAAAAAATATGCAGTGCTCTCTCGGTATAGTTCATGGCCTATACAATTAGTAAAGGATTATCGTACATCAGCACTCTATACACTATAACCTCGTTGGTCTTTTAATTATAGATAACACTGTCTTTATAAAGCGAAATTCGTATCCCCTGAAGCTGAAGTGCCTAATATTATCTTACTTTTAGTGGTTTAACACTTCATATATCATTTATGATCAATTAACCAGAAACCAGTAATTATCTAATCATTGTAAGAATTTATGTATATGTTATAGATATAAACTAGGCAGAGATGGCGCTTCGCACGCTCTTTCTAGCATTTAATTAAATATTTTATAAACGGCAACAATTTTTTTGCTTATATTTAAAAATGTACAGTAAGAATCAGATACCTCTGAAATAGAAAGACGACTTTTAGTATGACTTTAAATATTCCTATGAACATGAAACAAACCAGTCGTAAACAAACTTATTTCACTTGATACTTGATAAAATTAGCAAATCATTTAATTTGTAACATCATCAAGTACACTTAAGTATTGATTTAATGCCGTATTCCTATTCCACATGTTTTCTTGTTCTGACTGTAGCAATTAAAATATTCGCGGGTTTTTCTGTGGATTTCTAATTTTTTGACAAACTAAAAATTTGACAGGGCAACATTTCTAAATTTCGACTTCAAAAAGGAGTTGGGAGTTATGACAACAAATATTAAACTAATCTACTCAGCTGTATTGACGTTTATTGGACACAATATTCACATCTTTTTTATTTGCGTTCAAATAGGAGATTAAATTATGAATCCTGTTTTTTTACTGTAAAAAGTTGGTTTTCATTTTCATTTAAAGATTTGACATCAAGTCCAGAGTTTTTTATTCCAAAGATTTTCCCAAGAAAACCGGAAGTTAATCTCCGGATATTTTTTATTTTTATGTTTCACTGAGCAGCGATGTATTAGAACTGAGAGATAGTGAAGAAATGATATCATTGATATAAACATTTACTCGGCTTCACTCCGCGCGTTTCCGCCAGGATGACAGCGTTGAAATCTACGAAAAAATTTTAAATAATCAAAAATTATTTCAACAATTTATTTTATAAAAAAAACTGCCTCCCCCCCTTCGTTAAACTTTTCTTTTAAACATCGATAGTATAACTTGAAAAAATGTAAATTTTACCATCAGTTTCGTTTTTTTCTGTCGAAATGATTTGAGATTGTCCTTTTCCAAAAAATAAAATTTCTCATAAAAAGAGTTTTTCCTAATAACAAAAAAAGTAAGTAAGAAAGAAAATAAAGAAAAAAATTTGCTCTCTATAGCCATTCAAAACTTCCTTTATATAAGGCATAAGCAGTGAAAAAGTATACCATGGCATTTTAGACCTAATCCAATTACTGCATTTATTATTCTTTCTAAGGCCACAACTTATGTATCGTGATCCTGTGACTTAATCCACTGCAGACAGATCAACCTGAGATATTGAAAACATAATTGATGTCAGATTTGTCCGAATTAGCGCATTAAAGGGACTGTAAACGCAATTTCAAGAAGTATTTATTCTATATATAAATTTGGCTTGTCTGTCTGTTTGTCTGTTTGTTTGTATCCAATAAACGTCAAAACGGCTGAACCAATCGGGCCCAAATTTTTTGTGGGACATCACGTGACCACAGGGAAGGTTTATGAATGATAAAATAAAAAAAAAGAAATGTGTTTTAAAGGTTTTTAATTTTGTAAAAAAAATTTAATTCTTGAAAATCCGAGAATTTTTTTTTAAAAATCCGCCAAATTTTTCTTCTTTGTTTTTAAATGCAAACAAAAAGAACATGTTCACAATTTAAATAAAAGATAAACGCAAAGCGCCCTAAAAGTCTAGAAAGAAGGGCGCGAAGCGCCTTGAATTTCTAGTTCTTAAAAAAGGAGGAAGTCCGATGCACAATGGTACCCTTAATACGCTTTTTTCATCAAGAATGGATGAAATATCCCTGACGTTAGGCATTAATCTCTTTAAAAATTGATTATTTTTACAAAAGAAACAATGGAAGCCATATATTAGAACTATCCCCTTCTCAATGTATAAAAACCACAACATTTTCCAAAATTTTGATTAACAGAAGGTTTAGAGGATATCGTTGTGGAACGGAGGGTGACTTTAAATATCAACGACAGTCCCTTTAAACCCAGTTCAATGATTTGAACTTGAATATCTTAACCGGGGGGGGGGTTGCTTTTTATCGAATATGCTTTTATTAGATTTATATATATTACATATTACCAGCTCTGGATGATGCAGGTTAAACCAGAATCCCTAGAAAATGATTGAAAGGTTGACAGGTTGACAAGTTGACACAAGGTCGATATTTCAAGTTTAAATTATTATTAATTAGTTTCCGGGTATTAATTTAACACACAGTGGGAACCAGAAATATTCAGACTGAAAAGACGACGGTTAGACTTAAATTTTGATTTTATATATAGTCCAGTAAATATGAACACACACCAATTGGGCAGTGTGCACAGACCCATCTCACTTTCAGCTGAAACTATTTGCTAATTTATAACAACACTAGCCTTAGAGGGCGCTTCGCGCCCATCTTCTAAATTAATTGTGAACAATGTTCTCTTTGTTCACATCGTAAAACAAAACAAAAATAATTCGCGGATTTTCACAAAACATTTCGTGGATTTTCAAAATTTTAAAAATTTAATGAAGATCAAATTTTGATGGAGACAAATATTTGAAATTTTGATCATTCATAAACCTTCCCTGTGGTCACGTGATGTCCCACAAAAAATTTTGGCCCGATCGGTTCAGCCGTTTTGACGTCTATTGGATACAAACAAACAGACAAACAGACAAACAAACAGACAGACAAGCTAAATTTATATATAGATATAACAAACCCTAATTTTTTATTGCTTTCTAACTGTAAATGAGATCAATTATGCCAATTTCCGTCATTTTCTCTGTTGCATGAATTAACAAGTGACTTTTTTAGAGAATCACAATGGATATCTTGTTAAATTTCAGATTGGAAAACATGGCGATCACTAACATTTTTGCACAGAAAAATGTTTAAAGGTTTCCATGATGAATTAATAATGTATCGTTATCAGTCTCATTGAACTTGATTATAGAGAGGCTTGGAGCTCAACGTCAACATAATTCAGTAATATTCCATTTAAAGGGACTGTAAAGGAGAAATGAAAGGGGGTATAGGCTGAAAGCTATTCACATTTAGCTCTTGATCCTAACCCATTAAAGTTATATCTGATGTTCCTGTCTCAAGAAATTGGTATAAAACTGTGTTAGTCCACAAAAAAATGGAAAAAAGCTGCTGCTATCAGGGGTGCAGGAATTTGGCCAAGAAGAAACTTTTTTAACATTCCAATGGGAGAGTCCATAGTTTACATTTTTCAAGGAGGGAGGGGGATTTAGCCTCCTTAGTCCCTGTATATTCTGAGGTCTGACGGCTAAATATCTATTTTGGCATTTTTTTCAGAGGTTCAAATTCACTTCTTGTGATCTTATTCTGAAGGTTTAATAGTTCTCAAAAAATGAACAATGTATATTGTTAAACTTTTAAAGATATTTTATTGAAAAAATGTTATGTCATTATTATATGAAAAGCAATTTTTATCACAGTAAAAAGTTGTAATCTCTGTCTTTTAGCTATATTGGTGAAAATTGTGTGAGGATATATTTATATTGATAGTAAATAGGCTTCAACATAAAAACTTAAATTTTATTGTATCAACATTATGTTTGATTCAATGGAGTCTTTTACATTTTGGAGGATTTTTTTAAATATCGACAAAAAACTAAAATTTATAACATTTTCCCAATTATTCAACTATTTTGCCTAATTTAGTAGATTTAAGGAAATGTTTCTTATCATAGAACAGAATTGTTGTCAGTTGAATGATAATGGCGTGCATGTCAACTAATTTGGTATTATTACTTCTAGCGTATTTGTTTCAACTATACTTCGCCTTTGAAATAAAGAAGAATAAAGATGAGCTGCTGTGTGCTTCAGGAAAATTAGATTTTTATAAGTATGAAGAGGATTTAAATCCAAAACATGTCTCGTTCCTTATCAAAACATCATTAAGAGATAGCATATTGTTGTCCCAAAATTTGAATACGTCATTGTTGGTAAAGCACTCTTATCGAGAGAACAGTATACAGTTGTTTAACTCCAACAATGAATACGTTACAAGTAATGGTCCACCAATATTCAATCTGCTAAGGATTATAGTAGATATCAGAGATTTATGCTTTACTGGAGATTTCATGCTTGCAATGAAGAACTGCTCAGAATCTGATGTTCAAATACCTATACTAAGAATAAATGCTCAGCGCGACCTCCTCAGGAAAATATCAGAAAAGTACAAAAATAAAACAAATTTGATACAAATCAGTAAAACATCTGTTGGAAAACTTAAGCTGGAGAAACTTGATTTTTTAAAAGTTTTAAATGAATTCAATTGTCCGGACATCAAAGTCAAGATCTGGATAAGCTCCAATGGCTACCAAAAAGAAATTGTCTCAGAGAAGCTTGAAATTTCAATGAAAGATCTTCATGAAACCAAAGAATTGAATATCTCTGAACAGGCACAATGTAAATCATTTAAATCTTATGATAAACTTACACTCAACGTGCTTGGTAAGTTTCTTGATGTGGCGACTGATCGTGAGTATGATGATGAAAGTCGATTGACACAGATGTTTGAGTTAGGTGGAGAGCTACCTCCTGTAGAACCTATGTTTGCCTGGGATGACAGTACACATGAATTATGGTTAAAGGATGAACAAGTTGACAGCTTGAAAGGATGTTTTACTGAAGCATTTTTCCAAGGAGTAAAACTTTCAGGAACTAAAGCAGGATTTAGGATAGAATCCAAACTCTACTGCCGCTATAAATCCTTCCAAATCGTCTTGCAAAATAATTCTCTAGTTCACAGCTATCATCCGAAATTTAATTTGAAATATTTAGGAAATATTACATTGGAAATTCTTAATCTTTCTTTCAGGCAGTGCGCTTTTTTAGATCTTGAAATAGAGTGTATTGATAAAAAGGCAAAGGTTCCTGAAACGTTTAATGAAAGGTTTAGATCAGATAATGGATTTATTATTCCGGCAGAGAAATTCATGAACAAGCGATGTAGAGTCAAAGGCTATTCTGATCAATATATTGAAATTTCTCCTCCTGAGGAAATAGGCTATTTGCTCCCTATGGGAATTGTAACGGCACTGCTATTAACTTTGATTCTGATTGGAGTGTTGCTGTTTATATACAGGTAGAGACATGGGCGTGTTCGCATTTTTTTATCATTTTGAGCGCTCATTGTTCGTGAAAAAAAACCCCATTTCTTTCGTTTTATTTCAATCGTTAAAAAAAAATAATTTTGGTTATTTTCTATTTAAATCTTCGTTTTCTCAGTGAATGATTGTTTAGTATAAACGTTCGTTAAGTAAAAGTGTTATTTTATAAAAATATTTCGTTCAATCAAATCATTTGTTCATTAAGAAAATCAATAGTTTTTTCAAAAGATTGTTGGAAAAATGCGTTTACAGTAAATAAACTATCGTTTTTCAAAAAATCGTTTGTTCAGTAAAAAATGATTGTTTTTTCAAAATCTTTTGAAAAATTCGTTCATTCAGTAAAAAGAACAATCATTTTATTCACTTGTATTCTTAAACGATTTTAAATTGTTCATATTTAATTTTTTTGTTCGTTTTTAAAAATCGTTCATGAAAAAATTCGTTCGTTCTCAAAAATGTTCGATGACAAAGACGATGCCCATCTCTATATACAGGGACAAGGTTCAAAATATGCAATTCAAGTTTACTAGTTCCCTGCAAGATCTTCACAAGAAAAAAGAAAAAGTAACAGACATTTCTTCTGCCGTGAGACTCAAAATGGACGACATTGTGAATTTGAATAAAGAGTTTGAAAAATTGAATATAATATCCAGTGAAGAGATTGAACCCAAACAAACTTTTAATCTAGCTACCAGTCCAGAGGTAGTCAAGAACCAAAGGAACAGATACAAAAATATTTTACCCTTTGATTCCAATGTTGTTATGCTAGATACGCCTAAAGGTAACTTATACTTTATGCTGAGGAAAATAACCACTGTGTAATCTGGTTTGCTCCTGTCAAAAATCATTGTTTTCTTAGTGTGTTTGTTTTTGCTTTCAAAAAATAGATGATTGTTTCACAGAGTTTAAAAGTTAAAATTCTTATATCTATCCCATCATGATAAAACATGTTAAACCTTAAACATATCGTAAACAGGTAAGCTTTGCAAAAAGTAAATAGAAGAAAATATGTTTAGGCTGCTCATTTACGACCTTTAAATTCTATCAAAGTGATAAATAAGTAGAACTATCAAAGTGATAAATAAGTAGAACTGTCTTTGATAATTTTTGATAAGTTGAACACAACAAAAAGAATTTCCTTTAAAGGGACTGTTACTGTAATTTCAAATGACTTTCTCTGCAAAGATGCCAATGTTACCCTTAACAGCTTAACCCTTAACAGTATGAGTAAAATATTAATGTTTTTGATTTTAAAAAATGATTATTTTTACTTGGGGGTTCTCTACAAAAGTGACATTCAAGTTTCCACTGCAGGAATACATTTAGAAATGATCAGAACTAATTACTTAAAAACTATGGATAGATGACGATATATTTCACATTATTGGTCACATAAAGTTCCAAGGGTACCTTTGTGAAACTGGTATTGTCACTTTAAATTACGCTTACAGTCCCATTAACATGTGATTATTTTAAGGTGAGGTTCCTCTACCGTATGTGTATGCATCTGACATTAAATTCAATGGTTTCAAACAAACCTATCTGGCAGTTCAGGTCTATATCTCAAAAAGGATTGAGTCTTTGCCACAAACTCTGATTTTTAAATCCCAATATCTTAACAACCCAATGTTATAGACCTTAGATATTTCAAACTATGACTTCTGTTATATCAAGAAATCAAAGTTTGAAATATCAAAGGTTTTAATTTGGTTGTAGATATATATAGGTATTAGAAAATTGGGATTTGTTGCAAAGACTCGATTCCTTTCTTGTTATTTATTGTTAAAATATTATCTTTTTCCTACAAAAGATTCTGTTGGAAATTGCAGTATAGCTTGGGAAACAGCTTTCCCGAGAAACTAAGTTTTCCCTATTAAAGTCAACCCACTCAACTTATATTTTCATTTTAATATAATTATTTGTAAACATCTATTTCCGGAAAACTTGTTTGCTTTTAGGCTCCGAAAGTGAAGGCAATGCCCAGTTTCTGGCAGATGGTTTTAGAAAGAAAAGTTAGAATTATTGTCATGATCACAGGGCTAGTTGAGAACAAGAGGTAGGTTGGAAAGAAGGAATTATTGTAATATATATATATATAAATATATATATATTTCTAACTATGTATAAAGGAAAATTAGACCCATAAAACTGTAAAAGAAAGACGATATTTAAACATTGTTTACTTGATGATTTCAGAAAGCAAACAGTTTTAACAATAGCTTACACATCAACCTAATAAGTGAAATGGGTCTTTCCTAACTGGGAATTTCTGTGTTCAATGAACTAACTTGAGTCTTACAGTCGTCTTTCTATTCCACTGTTTTATTGGTACCACATGCAAAAGAAACTATAACAGTGATAACCAGAAAAATCTGGAATTGGAAGTCGACTTTTAGACTCAAGTTATGACTTTAATTAGTCCAACGAACAGTAATTGTGCAGTATAAACAGACCCTATTCACTTAATAAGTTTTTTAATAACTTACTATAGCTAAGATATTAGCTTTAAAACAACATTAAATTCACGTTAATATCACGGTAATGTCGTTTTTCTATTCTCTAGTTTCTGATTAGCACTGTTTAAATAAAGATGTTCTGATCTCTAGATTAGATTTGTCATACAACGATCTGAAAGGTGTTGATGGTATCGAACCAAGTCCTCTTTCTAGGTATAGTAAAATAATTTTTCGATTTTTCATTTTTTTCGGGGCCCACTGCAAAATAGGAATTTCTATTCGTCCCCCTAAAAATATCACTGCATATGCCTAACAAAATTATATTTTTATTTATATTCCTCTGAAGTTTAATGTGCCTAGAGAAAAACTGTTAAATAGTTCTAAACGTTTTAGGAGTATCCTTTTAATGTTTTAAGATATGCTAACAAAGAATTGAAATATCTATTTAAGCATTTTTATATCTATTTAAGCATCTTGCCTATGAGTATGTGAGTGACAATATGTGATTTTGACGGTATTTAATTTCTAAAATTTCTGAAAGGTATTCCCCACCCCCCCGTAACAATACCTTTCGAAGAAGTCGTATTTTGATCTCAAATTTAATTAATAAATGCCGCGTTCATAAATTTATTTTTGTCTAGACTGAGTGCACTACTGTACCTTGACCTCAGCAATTGTTCTTTAGATCGTCTTCATATAGATTTTCTTCATAACAATAAATTTCTTACTGAACTACGCCTCAGGAAAAAAGAAAGCCTTTAAAAAAATTTCTATTTTTTAAGATTGTGTCGAAATTCTTAATTTTCGATAATGTTTTGAAAACCTTAAATGTTTTGAGGTCTTCATTACAGTAAAGGAAGTTATAATACTGCAGTTAATGGTTCACATTTATCAAAAATTTATGTTAGCCAAAACTCAAATCATTTTGTATACATTTTCGACATTCAAAAATACTGTGGCTTCATTTTTAGCAAAAATCAAATAGACTACATTCCTACTACTGCTCTTTTTGATACAAGAGCAAGTTTAGGTAAATTATCTATTTACTAGAAATTCAAGGCGCTTCGCGCCCTTCTTTCTAGGCTTTTAGGGCGCTTCGCGCCCATCTTCTATTTAAATTGTGATCATGTTCTTTTTGTTTACATTTCAAAACAAAGATAAAAAAGTTTTGCGGATTTTTAAAAAAAATTCGCGGATTTTCAAAAATTTAAATTTTTTACAAAATTAAAAACCTCTAAAACACCAATTTTTAAAATTTCAATCATTCATAAACCTTCCCTGGGGTCCCTAGATGTCCCACAAAAAATTTGGGCCCGATCGGTTCAGCCGTTTTGACGTTTATTGGATACAAACAGACAGACAGATAAACAGACAAACAGACAAGCCAAATTTATATATAGATGTTTGGGCTGAAGCGATCGGTTGAAATTGAAAAAATGTCTAAATGTCGACATTTATTGCTTGATCAGAAATCCTCAAAAATGTTCGTTTACTGCAATTTAAATATCACAGGTTAAATGCTTCAATTGTTTCTTGAAACGCAAAATTTTAAATTAGTTTGAGAAATATTTACATTTTTAGAATTTTTGGATTTGAGTGAGAATCCCATTAAATCGGTTTCATCACATGCATTTCATGGACTTTATGGATTAAAAACATTAGGAAAATTAGGATAATTCAATTAATATTAAATAAATTAAATTTAACAATTATTAACCTGTAACTCTCATTAACAATGATAAAGATTTTGATAATCTAAATTTTATTCTCTGCTTTAGAAATACACATATTACTTTTGGAAAAAATCTTCAAGGATTTAAAAAACTCTATTTTTTCCTCGTAAAATATCTATGTATTCAAGTTATAATTCTAAAATAAATTAAAACTAATTTATCTTTAATGCCCTGTAGCCAGGTGCTTCAACTACTTCTTTTTATCTATTAAAAGAAAAATGGGTCGGCTGATTTTCGATACAAAAAATATTTGGTCAAACTGTTTAGCATGACTTTTCTTGATGTTAGAATTATTCAAAGCTTTAAAAATTTGATCAAAGTTTTCAAAGATTCTTTCAACGTTTTCAAAGATTCTATCAACGTTTTCAAAGATTCTTTCAACGTTTTCAAAGATTTTTTCAACGTTGTCAAAGATTCTTTCAACGTTTTTAAAGATTCTTTCAGCGTTTTCAAAAGTTCTTTCAACGTTTTCAAAGATTCTTTCAACGTTTTCAAAGATTCTTTCAACGTTTTCAAAGATTCTTTCAACGTTTTCAAAGATTCTATCAACGTTTTCAAAAATTCTATCAAAACGAATGTCTCTTTAAAATACTATTTTATTGACCAAACTAACTTTCGTGGTATATATTAGATGGGTCAGATACAGCTATATGAATTCTTCACATATCTGTCAGTGAATTCATAGTTTCGACTATCTAAGGTCTACGACGAAAGGTTTCAAAGAAATAGGGTATCAGAGTTTTTGGCAAAAGACTTAATACCTAAAAATTATGGTGTTTTAAAATTATCCTGACTCCAGTGATGAGCAGTATGCCTACTCTAGAAGACATTGATGCTCTTGCTTTCCATGATCTTCACTCCCTAGAGACATTAGACTGCAGGCAAACTGATTATACAGATATAGAGTGTTATTGGATTTAATAGCTTTAATTAAAGGGACTGTAAGCGTAATTTCAATTTACACTTTAATGTTGGCAATGTCCGATTTCCAACGCAGTACCCTCTGGAAGATATTGTATAGTTTGTCTAGTTTAAAACTCTGGGTCTGTTTAATCATAATAATTAAAGGGATAATGAAAACCTCAAGCACTTTCATCCTCAGGCCTTTAAGGATAATTTATTCCAGGTAAACATGCAGTGAGACTTTTAGACTCAAGTTATGAATTTTAATACTCCAATGAACATAAAAAACGTGTCAACTGTGCAGTGTAATCAGAATAATTTTATTTGATAAGTGATTTAATAAGTGACTACTTTCTTAATCTTTGAACTAGTTTAGTAGTTCAGCAAATAGCGAGGATCCCTAGTTCTTTAATTAAGTCTAATTGGTTGAACAGAATTATGCTTCTGCCAATGATAAACGGGGCACTCAATTTTTTAGATTTGTAAACTTTGGCAATTTCAACTTTTTCCCTCGAATATCCTTTTCATGGTGTGTTTTTATAAACATGAATAGTTTTAAATGAACACGATCTAAAGCTCTTAAAGTCCAAGAACCTGAGTCCCGTAACAACCAATCAAAGGAACCTGAGTCCCGTAACAACCAATCAAAGGAACCTGAGTCCTGTAACAACCAATCAAAGGAACCTGAGTCCCGTAACAACCAATCAAAGGAATCTGAGTCCCGTAACAACCAATCAGAGGATATAATTCTATTCAAACTGTAATTTCAAATAACTGTGAAGCACAAATCTGTTAGATCTATATTCCAAATTATAAATTATGTTAGATAAAAATATTCAAGTTTGAAATATCAAAGGTTTACGCCATCATGTTGCAAAGATTTTAGGATTAGAAAAATTGAGTTTGTGGCAAAAGTCTCAAATCCTTTGCTTGAACTAAATCCAGTTTTTTCAAAGGAACTATTATTATATACATATATTATATTATTATATATATATAAAGATTTACTCACACACAAAGATAAAAATACACATATAAACGGTGTAGTTTAAACTTGTTTAATTAAATTTTTGAAAATACAGGTTTCCACAAGAAAAGAGAAAAATATGCAAAATTATGCACAAATAGACAACATTGATTATTACTCATTGCATAACATATTTATCATTTCAGTTATTACGTAATCATCGAATCCTTCAACATATAAATTATTCATTCTTGTATTTAAAAGTTCTTGTAAAACCGGAACTTTCCATGCATGTTCCAATGGTACATCAAAATATTTTATTTGTTTCTTAACTAACATTTTAATAAGATCCGAAGGATTTACAGAACAATCATTTGCAAAAGAAAATAAATTTCTGCCAGGAACTGTGTTAAGGTAATTTTAACATAAATTAGAATTACTTGAGCGTATATAAATAGACTGTTTTACCGGCCGGGGTTTAATCTTTTCAAATCTCATCTCTGATCTAAAAAGGTTTCCAACAAGGAACTCAATAACTGAGATATTTTAAAGTTCTTTTGGTTTTACTACAGTGAAACCCTTAATAACGAATACATCGGAAGAATTTATCAAATGTCGTCTTGACAATTTTTTAATGAGTTTTACACTTTATTAGGTAAATTTTAGTATTTGCGAAAATAAATAAACAGCCCATGAATTTGCGGGAACAGTGTTAAAGAGTTCCATATAATCATTTAATTAAAAAAAACTAAATATCTGCAACATTTCATTATCAGAAAGTGAAGAATACGACATTTGATGAATTTTTTCGATGTATTCGTTATTAAGGGTTTCACTAAATAATTTAGGATGTTTCATTAATGGAGTTACGATATCTCTATATCTCTGGAAATTCCCTTTCTACAATATCTCAACAGCTAGTTGACTGGTCCAAGCTCTCTGAACTTCTTATCGGAGGTAGAAAAATATATTTTGAATTTGCTTTTAAATATTTGGTTTGTTTTGTCTGTTTGTTTCTAATTAACGTCCCATCGGCGAAACCAATTAACTCAAAATTTTTGTATGTATTTTGAAAAAATGGCGATTTGAAAAAAAAACATTTAAATGCCAAAAATATGAGTAATAAAAAGGATCCCGGGAAGATTGCAAATTCCTAGTATTTTAAATTATAATGGGTTTAAAGAGCTTAACAATTAAAAATTCATTGCATTTCAATCCGTTTTGAGAAGGTTAAAATTGCACAGTAAAAGGAGTTACAGAAGGTATGCTCTAGAAAGGAATTGAGTCTTTGCCTAATGCTTATCCTATATCTTTGCAACCCATAATGATGGTGCATATGCAACTTTTCATATTTCAATCTTACAGAATTCATAAAAAAAATTAGAGTTTGTGACAAAAACTCAATTTTACTATCAGGAAACGCATTGGAATGTGACTGCGAGCTGGCCTGGCTCTCCACAGGGGTTAACTCTACCTGGATCAATGACGTCACGTGTTCTGGACCACAGGAATTGGCGGGAAAATTGGTAATTTCAAGCTATAATTTTATAAGAGTTATAAATAGTTGATATTTTTTCTTCAAGGTATTAAATGCTGCCTCAGATATGAAGTGTGATCAAACATTAGGAAATTATTCATTAAAGAAAACTTTGTGGCTGTTATAAGTAATGTCATAAAATATTTTTAACTCAGAAAAATGAAAACTTCGAAGCATTACCATATAGTTGGAATTTTTCTAAACCATGGTTAAATAACCCTGAAAAGTTGACATTTAAATTATCAGAGGGTATTTTCATAATTTCAGTGCTGGTCTTTTAGGGCGCCTATTTTAATAAAACAATTTTAACTTTCAGAGCTGTTGTTATTCAGGTCAACATTTTTTAACCGTTCTCCACGAAATGTTAGAGGATTTTTTTGTTTACATTCTTGCATGTTTACAAATATTAATTGACATTTTTCCGTGCAAAATTTAATCATTCCAAAAAATTCCCTTGGAACATGGGAGTTGTCATAAAAATGTTGAAACAAAAATTTGTGACAACTGATATGCTCCAAGGAAAGGTTTGTGGCAACTGATATGATCCAAGGAAAGGTTTGTGGCAACTGATATGATCGAAGGAAAGATTTGTGGCAAGTCGGATTGAAAAAGTCGGATTGCCTAAAAGTATGATACATTAATTAAACGATTGAAGTCCATCAAGCTTCTATTGGAGAGCCATAAGAGCCTGGTAATGAATGGTTGTGAAGGAATTGAGGTTCTGACTGTTCTAGCGGTAATAGTGATGGGGTTCACTCTCTTTATAATACTAGGATATATATTTGCTCGCAGGTAAATAGTAGGTTCTTAACAAATAGAATCGTTACCATATACAGGTTACCCACAAAGGATGAGACTTCAGAGACGACATAACTAATAATTATACGTAATTTATTCAGTTATTTATCCAACATCCTTTAGTATTCTGGTTGCCATAATTATCAAAATATCATTTAAGAATTTATTCAGTTATTTCTCCAACATCCTTTAGTATTCTGGTTGCCATAATTATCAAAATATCATTTAAGAATTTATTTAGTTATTTCTCCAACATCCTTTAGTATTCTGGTTGCCATAATTATCAAAATATCATTTAAGAATTTATTCAGTTATTTCTCAAACATCCTTTAGTATTTTGATTGCCATAATTATCAAAATATCATTTAAGAATTACACATTATTTACATTCAAAGTTTTTTTGGTTTTCAAGTGGCTTAACTAATCCTACGGGTGTAACATTTTGTATTTAAAAGCAAATTTTTAAACATCTTAAACTTCATCAATAAGTGCTTATATCCATGAAAAGATGACAATGCATGATTCAATCCGGATATGAATTAGATATCAATGTTTATAATTTTGAAAACTGATTATCGTCAACTTTTGGTTTCGTACAAAAATTACCTGATTTCTGCTGCAGGAAAACATATAGGAACTATCACCAGAATTGAACAGTTTTAAAGTTAGAAAAACGACCATTTCTTTAACATTATTGATTAGATAAGGGTTCCAAGGGTATCGCTTTGAATCAGACATTGTCGTCTTTGCTTTGAGGGTCAGTTGAACTTACGCTTAGAGTCTTTCTAACTAAAATCTATATTATATTTTCACACAATGGCCTCATCATGTTCCTAAAATATATCTAATATTTTCAGACAATGGCCTCATCATGTTCTTAAAATATATTATATATTTTCAGACAATGGCCTCATCATGTTCCTAAAATATATTATATATTTTCAGACAATGGCCTAATCATGTTCCTAAAATATATTTAATATTTTCAGACAATGGCCTCATCATTTTCCTAAAATATATTATATATTTTCAGACAATGGCCTCATCATGTTCCTAAAATATATTTAATATTTTCAGACAATGGCCTAATCATTTTCCTAAAATATATTTAATATTTTCAGACAATGGCCTAATCATTTTCCTAAAATATATTTAATATTTTCAGACAATGGCCTAATCATTTTCCTAAAATATATTATATATTTTCACACAATGGCCTCATCATGTTCCTAAAATATATTTAATATTTTCAGACAATGGCCTCATCATGTTCCTAAAATTAACCTATTTGGTGAGTCTGCTGTCCCCCAGTATTTCCCTCTCAGCTGAACACTGTAAATATTGTACAATGTACATTTATCACGATTAATAGATCTTTTTTTAAATCTAAATAAATACCTGCAATATTTTTCTACAATAATTGCATGTTTTTTTTAATATTTTTCTCCCATTTGAGTAAAACTAGCTGAAGTGCATGGCGTAGCCCGTGGAATCAAAAACACTTTTAGAAAAATAATTTGAGTTTTAAGGAAGAATAATAATTTCGAATATTTTTAGTGTATGTTGGTCCAACACTAATCGTTTGTACGTTGTAATGTAAATATAATTTGTGTGCAATCATGCTTCGTTCTTCCACTCAATCTTGGCTTTTCATTTCTAAGTTCTTTCAGGTCTATATTACGCTTCATAACAGATTCCATGACAGATTTTAATGAACTTAATAATTCTTAAATTTAAGGCTTTTAATATATCTACTTGTAAATATATATCTACGAAAAATAAAACCAATTTATTATTTGAAAGGGAGCAGTGGCCATTTTGGCCCTGTGGCTGGCTAATTGTATTTTAATTTATTTCATATATTTAACATTAAAAAAACTGTAATACATATAAAAATAGCATACAGATCGTTAAATCATTTATTTCAAGAAAAAAATAAATTTCAGAAAATCTATTAAATTTAAGATAATGGAATTGAAATATTGAATTGAATTGAATTGAAACACATTTAGTTTTAGTTAAAGTTTTTCAATTTTTCTTATTTGATCGCAAACATTTAAAGTTTAAAGGGTGTCCGAAAGTTTCGAAACAAACATGTGAATTAAAACTTTTAACTCGTTTTGACCCAAGAATTTGTGAATACCATTAGATTTTTTTATATTTCCATCAATTATTAGACCACACTTTGGAAAGCATAGTTGCCTTGAGTCTAAAACTGAAGAATGCGCGAAATTTAAGTTATAGCTTAAAAGTTCTGCAAAATAATGAGTTGCTACTTAAATATTAAACTTTCTCAATATAACCCTGAAGGGAAATTTAAATTTCCCGGGAAAAATCTGAACCAATCAGAAAAAATTCCAGTTACAACTGTTTTTTTGGTTTACATGCGAACATTGATTAATCTAAAACGTCAAATTTATTCAATCAAGGTTTTCAACTTTTCACTTTTAAATATAACTTAAAGTTGAATGCCGCTCTCTCAACTGAATGATGATTGATTGATAGACTAATTTGGAAAATGCGGGATTTCAAGATTTTAACCCTGGGTTTAAATTTTAACTCGTCGATTTTGGCTAGTTAAATATTTAAACCCAGTTTTAAATTCAGGTTTAAATTCAGGTTTAAATCAAGTCAGAAGTGGCATTCAAGCTGAAACCTAAAATTTGAGCCGGAACTTTTCGTTCTTTGTCACTTAATTCCTATATTTAAAAGGGCAAAAAAAAGGTTCGTTTTAAAGGTTCAAAGTTTTCAGAGACTCAACAAGAAATTAAAATGTTTTCAAAATTGCGTGCTAGAAAAGTTAGCTTTTCTTAAATTATGCAAAATATTTTCTCTGATCAAGGATAAATAAATGCTCATTTACTTTAGAAAACTTGTTTTGGTTGATAAACCGGAGAAAACTTGTTTTGGTTGATAAACCAGAGAAAACTTATTTTGGTTGATAAACCAGAGAAAACTTGATTTGGTTGATAAACCAGAGAAAACTTGTTTTGGTTGATAAACCAGAGAAAACTTGTTTTGGTGATAAACCAGAGAAAACTGGTTTTGGATAAAAAAAAACCAGAGAAAAAATGGCATAATGTAATAAATTCAAACTTATAAATTATAAAATTTGCGATGTATCTCATGACTTATATTTTGGCGAAATACTGTTAGCATAAAAAACCCTAAATTTCTCAAAATGGACCTTTAATGTTTCAAGGGAGAGAATGGCTAGTCATGGTAGTTGAACTGAAAGTACAATATTGTAGAGAAAACCTGTAGGATTCATTTGATACCAGTAAGACATTTTTACACTGTGCGGTTAAAGAAACGAACGTTCCGTTATTACATTTTTTAACAGTTGAAACTGACTGTTAACGAAACGGCTAGAAAAAGTTTAAACGGGCTAAGCCCTATGTCCAGCAAGTTTATGATAAAGGTCGTGAACACTAGCATTATTCTCCTCCCTTCTTCTCGAAGTACATGTAGTTTACCAGAATTGTAGCTCCCAGGATTCCCATTTTAGTCTAATCAAATATTTTATTTTAGAAAGATTAATTGGCAGAAATGATTTTAAGAGTATTGTTGATGTAAGCAGAAAGCTGCCTGTCTTGAACAAAAAGGTTATAGAAGAGACAGTAAACGTCATAAATGCAAAAGTTATGCTGCAGCAGAAACAAAAAAGGAAAACTGTGTCGACAAATCCCTTTTTTTAAAATATTTAAAAATTGACCTTGAAATCTGAACTTTATATTGACTTTAAAATCACAAACATTTGATTGACCTTTGAATCTGATGCAACAGGGAATTCAATTGTAAAATTATCAGCTTCTGTGAAGGTTTCCTTCCCACAACCAGACCATTTCTTACGGATCTCTCCAATCTTGAATAATAGGAAAATGTCGGATTTAAATTTTGTGTTTAATGCTCTAATGGTATAGAGTTACTGCCACAAACTCTGATTTTATAAGCCCTAAATCTTTTCAATCCAATGTCGTAGACCTTGGGTATTCAAGCTCATGACTTATGCTATAGCAAATATGAAAGGTTTACAACATCAGCTTCCAACTCATGACTTATGCTATAGCAAATATTAAAGGTTTACAATATCAGCTTCCAACTCATGACTTATGCTATAGCAAATATGAAAGGTTTACAACATCAGCTTCCAACTCATGACCTATGCTATAGCAAATATGAAAGGTTTACAACATCAGCTTCCAACTCATGACTTATGCTATAGCAAATATTAAAGGTTTACAATATCAGCTTCCAACTCATGACTTATGCTATAGCAAATATTAAAGGTTTACAATATCAGCTTCCAAAATTATAATTTTTGAGTTTGTGACTAAGACTCATGACACGACAGCATTTACATTTTTTTTAAAATAAACATTTGGAACATTTCCCAAGATACCCAGGCATTTGGGAAATTTCCCAGATACCCAGGCATTCGGGAATTTCCCCAAACTTCTATAGGTATTTGAGGGTGGTATATTTTTAAGATTTTGGAAATTTCTCAAATGACTGGATACTTGAGAAATTTCCCAAAAACCCAGGCATTTGAGAAATTTCCCAGATACCCAGGCATTTGGGAAATTTTCCAGATACCCAGGCATTTGGGAAATCTTGGGATTTGGGTATCTTGGAAATTTCCAGTCATTTGAGAAATTTCCAAAATCTGAAAAATATACCACCCTCAAATATCTGTAAGTATTTGGGAAATATCCCAGATACCCAGGCTTTTGGGAAAGTCCCCAAATTCCTATAGTTATTTGAGGGTGGTTTATTTTTAATATTTTGGAAATTTCTGAAATGACTGGATATTTGGGGAACTTCCCGAAAACCCAGGCATTTGAGAAAATTTCCCAGATACCCAGATATTTGGTAAATTTCCCAGATACCCAGGCATTTGGGAAATTCCACAAATGTCTGGGTATTTGGAAATTTCCAGTCATTTGAGAAATTTCCAAAATCTTAAAAATATACCACCCTTAAATAGGTATTTGGGCCAGGCATTTGGGAAATTCCCCAAATTCCTCTAAGTATTTGAGGGTGGTTTATTTTTAAGATTTTGGAAATTTTTCAAATGACTGGACATTTGGGGAGTTTCCCAAAAACCTAGGTATTTGGGAAATTCCTAAAATATCTGGGTATTTGGGGAATTCCCCAAATGCCTGGGTATCTTGGAAATTTCCAGGCATTTGGGAAATTTCCCAGATACCCAGGCATTTGGGAAATTCTCCAAATTCCTATAGGTATTTGAGGGTGGTATATTTTAAAGATTTTGGAAACTTCTCAAATGACTGGATATGTCTCCAAAAAACCTAGGCATTTGGGAAATTGCCCAAATATCTGGACATTTGGGAAATTCCTCAAATGTCTGGGAAATTCTTATTTTTGACATTTTTGATAATTGTTGTCACTCCCTCCTAGTCCTAAGACTCAATTCCTTGCACTGAAATTTTTTTTTTAAATGTGTTCTGGCGTTTTTGGTCATTTTGGAGCTTTCTACATACATAAAAGTTTTAGCTTCGGTTTCTTTAACAGAGGGGTTTCTAAGGCGAAAATATTGAAAAAACATTTCAAGGTAGAAGATGCAATTTAATGCACTTTTTATCTACGACTAACGGACCAAATGTTATATATTTTTTACAGGGTTTCCCCACAAAGGACAAGATTGCATTACATAACTCTTTAAATACTATGCAATCATAAAATATATAAATTATACTATAATCTTAACACTTTGACTATTTAAACGTTTACTATTTAATTTATCAAAACTTGAAATGTTCCGAAGGCTATATAAGGATTGGAAGATTTTAGTTTGAGGCAAGTATGTTCTGTGTCTCTACATAGTCGTCTATAAAAATCTTAATCTTTGTAAAAAAAAAATTTAATTAATAATGCTGAATTTTAACCTGATTTAGGTCGGGTGTTAAAATGCTGAAAATTCTGTCACCTAAACATTAAAAATCAATAATCATTAAATAAACAAAGAAAATACTTTTAAGAGACTTACTGCAGCATCTTATAACGCAGACCTCCCCGTGTATTCTCATTAGAACCTCCCCTCCTCCATCCTAAAGAAATATATCTCATTACAAAAAAATGTTGGGACATTTTCAAACCATTTCTTCATTGTATTGATATAATCGCCGCACCAGCTACTGAAGTAGAATTAAAATAGAACAATTTAACTGTGGGGAAGATTTTTATTAATTTCCAACCTTGAGCGCAATTTTGTTGTTGAAAAATGCCCATTCTTGCTCCACGCTGTACAGTTTTTCCCCAGCCGGGTCAAACATCTAAACAAACGGTACAGTACAGTACAATACAGTACAGTACAGTAGAGTACAGTACAGTGACGGATTCCTGTACGTTTATGAACTGTATCCTCTCCAGTAGCTCCAGCTCCCTGCACCCCATGAGCAGCATGACATCCAGCAGCACCTCCTCAAGTCAGCATCATTGAAAAACTGACTCTCCAGTGGGAGGCTGCGTGTTAAACAGCTCCTGGCTATCAATGCCTCCCCGTCTTAATTTTCATGAATATGTTTTAAAAAACGATATTTTCTATATTTTTAACTTGAGACAAATATATACATTTGATTTGATTTGATTTGACAGTACAGTACAGTACAGTACAGTACAGTACAGTACAGTACAGTACAGTACAGTACAGTAAAGTACAGTACAGTACAGTACAGTACAGTACAGTACAGTACAGTACAGTACAGTACAGTACAGTACAGTACAGTACAGTACAATACAATACAGTACAGTACAGTACAGTACAGTACGGTACGTTACAGTACAATACAATACAGTACAGTACAGTACAGTACAGTACGGTACGTTACAGTACGGTGCGTTACATTAAATTACAGTAAAATGCGAGACAGTAAATTGATGTACGGTACAGTACAGTGCAGTAATTTACGGTTCAGTACAGCGATGTACAGTACAGTACAGTGATGTACTGTACAGTACAGTGAGGTACGGTACATTACCAGGGGTCCATATAATTCCATCTGATCAATCTTAAATGTTGATTGATTGGTATTAGGGGCAGAAATAAATCATGTTGTTATTGTAAACAATTGTAGTATAATGTCAAGTTGTAGAAAAAATTCCATACTGCAGAATGTTTACTGCAAGGGAGTGTTTCTTTTTCTGTATATTATAATTTATCTCTTATATTAAATCATAATATTTACTTCTTTTAACACCCTAAATGCAGTACACATTTCTGAAGTGTAGTACACAATGACACATAAAGTGTACTTCCATGTCCCTAAATGTGCTTTCAACCCCGATCCCATTTGGGATCAGAAATGGAATTATATGGACCCTTGTAATAACAGTACATTGAGGTACGGTGGAATACAGTGAGGTACGGTATAGTACAGTGAGAAATTAGATACAGTGCAGTGAGGTACGGTACAGTACAGTGAGGTACGGTATAGTACAGTGAGAAATAGTGCAGTGAGGTACGGTACAATACAGTGAGGTACGTCATAGTAAAGTGAGAAATTAGATACAGTGCAGTGAGGTACGGTACAGTACAGTGAGGTACGGTATAGTACAGTGAGAAATTAGATACAGTGCAGTGAGGTACGGTACAATACAGTGAGGTACGTCATAGTAAAGTGAGAAATTAGATACAGTGCAGTGAGGTACGGTACAGTACAGTGAGGTACGTTATAGTACAGTGAGGTTAGGTACAGTACAGTGAGGTTCGGTAAAGTACAGTGAGGTACGTTATAGTACGGTGAGGTTAGGTACAGTACAGTGAGGTATGGTACAGTACAGTGAGGTACGTTATAGTACAGTGAGGTACGGTATAGTACAGTGAGGTTAGGTACATTACAGTGAGGTACGGTTCAGTACAGTGAGGTACGTTATATTACAGCGAGGTACGGTACAGTACAACAGTGATGTATGGTACAGTACAGTGAGGTACAGTACAGTACAGTAAGGTACGGTACAGTACAGTGAGGTTAGGTACAGTACAGTGAGGTACGGTACAGTAAAAAAGGTACGTATAACTTTGGAAAGAAAACGTTGCCGAATATGAATTATAGGCTTAAATACGTAAAGTAAATAAAATTAGAGCCACCTAAATTGATTTTCTGTCATAAAATATTGTAAACAGAACTTGAATTATTTTTCAAAAATACAATTTTATTTTTTATACCTCTAATTCCTGCATACAGCAAAACCAACAGCAATCATCACATTTCAAAGGTCTAAATTTTACAAACCATAAAAACATTTTGAATTTCCAATTTTGGAAAGGTTTAAAAATTTTATGAAACTTAGTTCACAATTAAGATAAAATTGGGAAGCAAAATATTTCTTTATTTAACTCAGCTTTTTCATAAATATCTTTACATGCCATGATATTAATTTTAACAATCCTTATTCGAAAAAAAAATTGGCTTACTGTTAAAAATGTTGGGGTTAGGAAACTCTTGACAAAATATTCCGGTAAGCTCCTGAGAGTTTTGTATCTGCGTGAAAACTGTGTCAAATAAAAATGCATTGTATTAATTGACTTCAATCAATTTTAATTGTTCCTGTGAAATTATCTTTGGACTGATAAACATCGAATAAAAACATAAAAAAAAACGAAAAGATTTAATTAATATTTACCTTTCTATATGCATGACAAGATTTCCTAAAAAGTAAATATGATATTTTTTACAAAGATAAAATGGAAAAACAAAACAGTCAATTTTAGCCTTTAAAAGTCATGATTTTAACCGTCTTTAATCGTTGAATAAGGTTTTTTTTCAGTTTGACCCCAAAAGATGTGTACTGTGTGTACGCAATATTAACGTGTGATTTTTTGAATCTATGTTGGTCTTTCCTTCAGTAATATAAAGTAAAGTTTCATAAAAGATTCTAAGAAAAATAAAATCAGAAGTTATGAATTCATATTTATAAAAATCTGAAATATCTATTCCTGTATTGTCCACAATGCTCATCTCAAAAGGTCGTGTGTTCAGAAAGCAGTTTCTGATCAAACAATCTAAAATTTTAAAATTTAATGATGAACCAAACCTCATATTTATATTGATGTTAGTTCCACATTTTATTGAAAATATATCTTGGGCTGGATTGACCCTCGTCAGTTCTTGAGTTTGTTTCTGTAATAATCAGATTCAATACAAACTGTATATCACGGGCAGCCGTAGTACATTTGAATTTCCGAGTCTGGTCAACCGTTCCGGTCCCATTTTGTACTGTACCTAGCTCTATGGACAAGACTATAGCCGGTGCAACAAGGTTGACGCGGTCAAACTTTATGCTTCATATAAGTTCAATTTACTTTTACTAAAGGGCTTCAGAGGTGCGTGATATCAATAAAAAATTAAATTCTAAAAAATTATTCAGTGAGAAATTGGATCTTTGCCACAAATTCTAATTTTCTAATCGGGTTGAAAAGATAATAGAAATAAATAAAAATACAGAATCATTTTCTTTACTGAATTAAACCCAAAATTTTGCGATTATAAGTTTTAGTTTAAACTCTGTAGACTGCAAGTTAGATCTTTTTATCAATTCTGTATTCGTATTTCACAGGATTACCCTCATAGAACTTATTGCAAAGGTCATTATCTAGGTCCAATGTGAACTAGACAGAAGGAGAAAATCAAATTCATTCGACAATACTAATACAATATTTTAAGATTTAGATTTGATTTTAAGTATTAGAAAATAAAATTTATTTAATTACATGTAAGACATTCAAACACTTCTTCTCGAAAGCTCTTCAATAGAGGAGTTATGGTTGCAACATGCAAAAAAAACTTGAAAAATAACAAAACTTATAAAGATGTTGAGATGTATTACACCAGCTCAAATGAAACCTCAATGTATCGAACTAAAAAAGAAGATTTTTTTTACATTTACCAATACTATTTAATGTATACGCTGAAACAAATGTTGTCAATTTGGCTAATCAAAACTATATGATCGCCACAGGCAACTTGGACGGGAATTTGCGATTTTTTTCTGCAAATATCCAAAAAAAAGACAGTAAAAAAGGGGTAGCAGAGCCACTTATTCAATTTTCGGTTTTTAAAGGACTTTTCATAAAAGGTTGGATAAATTTTCACATTGTACTCGAAAATCCTAGGAGCAGCCACCCCTCCCTTGCCCACGTAATTCTAAGCGATCCTTTGTATAAAAGAGGAGAGCGTCTGATTAAAAATTCATCTAGGTTTCTTAGACCGTCTTTAATTCTGACAATTATCTTTATTGCCTTCTTTTCCGCAAGTCACTTTTGTAGAGAAACCAAAATTTAAAATAACGGATTTTCAAAAAAAAAACCATTGTTATAAGTCTATAATTCGCTTAAATATATTTTAAGAAGGTTCATTTGTAAATTGGACTCTATAAATGGAGGGTGACTTTGAATTACATTTACATATAATGTTTTCTGGTTACTATCGTAGAATATACCTGAACTTTCTGTTGCCACAAATATTTGCTCCATTCGAGGGTTGAATATCCTGCGATTTACAGAAAATTTGATTTGCATTGAATCTATTGTTTTGGTTCTAACTTGGATCTAACTCTTGATTTTCCCATGGTCTTGTCTTGTCAAAATTTTGAAGAGGTTTACGAATATTTTTAAGTACCTATGTCAGGTTTTAAACTTGTGTACCGAAGGAGGGTTAGGTTAAGCCCCCCCCCCCAGATGCCCCCTTCCACAGCCCACAGTGGTGAGCCATTGGATTTTTAGTATATCTGGCGGAGATTGGGTTATGATGATAAATTTTAATTTCAAAATTATACTTTTTATGAAAATTAATAAATTTATTCGATTTAAAAGTTTTTTTGGCACACACACTTCCACCCAATATCAGAACAATCCATTTAATATTTTACTGAAATTGTCCGATCCTGAATATTTTACTAAAATTGTCCGATCCTGAATATTTTACTAAAATTGTCCGATCCTGAATATTTTACTAAAATTGTCCGATCCTGAATATTTTACTAAAATTGTCCGATCCTGAATTTTGAATTCCCAGACATGCCTCCATCATGTCTACTTCCTGTTTGATAAAAACCATATCTATTCGTCAATAATTCTTTTTTTTAATAAATTGAGTCTTTGCCACAAACTGAAATTTTACAATACTTTTAAATTATGCTACTAGAGGATGTAAACCTTTGATATTTCTACCTTATATTATTTTATCTACCAAAATCCCAGAGTTTGAAATATATCATCTAGGGTCTGACATTGGGTTGCAAAGTGTAGGGATTAAAGAATCAGAGTTTGTGGCAAAGACTCAATTCTTTTAGATAGTGTAAATTACCACAAACTCAAATTTTCTATTCCCTATATTATATATGTAACTAGATGGTGTAAACCTTTTCAAACTTAGATTATTTTAACTACCAAAATTCACAGTATGACATATCTAAGTACGTTCTACAAAATTGGGTTGCAAGGATGTAAGGGTTAGAAAATCTAAGTTTGTGGCAAAAATTCCAGATAATTTAAGAAATGTAAATAAACTGATAATATTTGATATTATAATCTTTGATTTCGATTTAGAAAGATTCGTAGTTACGCCATCAGGTTTGAAATATATAGGGAGTAGAAAAGTAGAGTTTGTGACAATGAATCCTAGATAAATTAGAATAGATTGTTCATGTCGTCTTCACCATACCGGAGGGTTACAGTTGAAATTGAAAATAGCAATTTAGCTATGGACTAGCTACTGACATGCAGTACATTGGATATAAAGGTTTGCGGCAAGTATATTTGTACTCTGTACAAATTTATGGGGGTTTGTTTACAAATATTGCAGACATACTAGTTAAAAGTTGAATTTCAAAGGATAAGAACGAAGATTAGTTGCTGCTTGCTACCAATATGTGAGTGATAATGATGACAATCAGACTCCCCTTAAACACAAAGAACACATTAAAGTTGGAAGACCTTTCAAACTATTAAATCTCTTGGGATGATAGCAATACTTTGGCGAATTCTATGTGTCAATTAATCAACATGTGGACAGTGAAAATCTCGGTATGATTACCATTTTATTTTATACAATTTCTGGGCCGACCGCTGCAGCTAGGACAGGCTTGGGGGCCCCCTCCCCATCAGGCCTTTCCCCCTCCTATCAATTTTGTACATGCTTTCAGAATAATTATTTGTTATTTATTTTTTATTATTTTAGAGTTAGGTTAGGTGAAGAAAATTTCTGGGTAGGGGGCCAGGCGCTGGGGCCCCATACCAATAATAACAATGTACAAAATTAATAGAAGAGGGGGGGCCCGGGGAGAGGGGGGGAAGGGTTGGTCAAAAAATCGTTCTCTAGGAAATTACCCATTTTCAATTTGTTTGAACCGTTTTTTGTTTATCTTTTTTAACCTAATTTTGTTTTATTTTAGGATCTCTCTTCAAGTTGTCTTGAATGAAATATAAGATTTACTTTTTTGTATTCCTAATTTTTTCAATTTTGTTGGCTCATTAATAAAGAGATTTTTTAAACTTTACTTTCATTTACACAAATTTTAAACGATTTTTAATGGCGAATTTCAGGGCGACAGTCTACTATAAAGGCTGGGGGGTCTGAATCTATGAATAGCCTGGGGGGGAGCGTCCCACGCCACTCCCATTAAAAAAAGGCCTTAGAGAATAGGTATAGAATTAAAATGCATAATCATAGACCAATTTTTCAACGCCAGCTCATTAAAAAAATTGACAGATAATTCTAATAGTTGGGCTCTAGGGAAGGTTGAAAAAAAGCCAAAAAAAAAGGTAAAATTGTATTTTTTTAAACAGATATCCAATTGTGACACATGTGTCTAAATCCAATTTTAAAAATATAATTTTTAGATCTGTAGCTTTAGTCACAAAAAAGTTAAGGGCCATTTTAGATTTTTTTTACACAGACCGGACTTTTTACCGCCCTGTACCCTACCCTATGCATTAAAAAAAAATTGACAGAAAAATCCTTTAGATTAACTATTCATTTAAAGTCACAAAATGTGACGATAATAGTGACAAAAATGAGAGTGCTAGGACAAAAAAAAACCATAGGGCCGGCCAGGCCTGTTTAGGGTTAAAAGCTAAAAAGTTAATGGGTGAGGCCTAATTTTAATAAACTTCTTTAAATAAATTAGTAAAAAAAATACTCTACAGATTGACCCCGAGAAGTAAAACGTATTCAATGACCTCTTCAAATGACAAGTTCATGATGTACAAAGGGTTGTACAATTTTTAGCTTTACAGTCTGCATGAACAATCTATTCTAATTTATCTAGGCAATGAATCTTTATTTTGATACATTTAATGCATACACAAATGAAAGATTGCATTTGAAGCAACATCTTTTTTTTCTTTGCTTAAGTGTCGTGCTTTTTATTAAAGAATTTATTCCTATATTATCTAGAGCAGAGAATCCGATTTTAGCATTTTGTTGAAATACTCCCCCTCCACCAACTCCACCCCCTCCAACTCCAACACCTCTGTCTTCTCCAACACCACCAGGCAACGGTGAATCCATTTTTCTCTAAATAGGATTATTCTATTTTATATTTATTCTATTTTATATTTATTCTATTTTATATTTGTGTGATCAAACTATTTTTGATTAAAGTAAAGGCAGTGGCTGAGGTTTAAAGGGACCGATCACTAAAGGGACCGATCACTTATTTGGGTAATTTCATAGTAAACTAAATAACCTATCAGCTGTTAATTGGTATTAGTCTTACTGCATCTGCATGACCGGAGGAAAAGCCGATTTTTCGTTCAGAATTCGAGCGCAAAGGAACGGTCCCTTTGTCTGAAACACTATACTAGACGTTTTTCAGCAACAAACAGCCCAAAAAATTGTAATGTATCATATTTCAATACCATTATGTGTTAGCTATTATATACTAAAATATGAAAACTTTAATATTTGAGTTAGCGATGAATTTACGTTTTTCGTATTAAACGTATAAAATGTAAATACAAAGACGACGTTCTCTACGACAATCAATTAATCATTCCGCAATTTTGGTTCGTAGATTCAACTCTGAGTTCAAAGTAAATAAAATATACTTGCAATGATGCATTTGTGAGTAATCCGAAATAGTTTATATTTAAAACATTCGGAGCGTAATAGGAGAACCGATTTGCGCATTTTTACTGACTGAACGAAAACTTATTTTCAAAATTCAAACAACGACAATATCTTTTACATTAGTGATCAGATAAAGATTTCAAGGGTAACAGGCATTGCCATCTTAGCATGAAATACATATTAATTAATAGGGAAAATTATCTCTAGAGAGTCAAGCCATAGATAAAGATAGATTGCGCATAGGACGACATTTTTCATCTTGAAAGATATAAATGAACAGAGATGTTTTAAAGATATTCCTATTATATAGATTAACTAGGTTGATTGTGAACATTGGCTGTTCTTATGTTATTGAGAACTTGTGGTGTAGATGAGTTCTGTAGAGAGAAATTTAAGTTAGTTTAGTCCTTCTTCAATTCTCGTCAATATGATATATTGCCCAGTGAAATAATTTGATATTCTCAAAATAGAATTCACTCCTGCGTTGTTAATAATTATGAAATTCATTAAAACACCAAACCACCCCGCTTATCATTGAAGTACACTTTGACCCCTAGAAGTATGAGTTCGCGGACTGTACAATTCTTGGTGATTTTGCGTACATAAGCTATCTATGTTTATTTATTTATCTATGAGTCAAGCTGTCATTAAGACAAAAATAATGCTCGAGTCTTGTGATATGAGTATGGCTTCTTTGAGTTGAGTATCATGGTTTAAGACCCAGTAAATTGGCTCGAAAAAAACAATTCGACCTTATCTTTCAACGGTAAATGGTTGAGACTACGGAATTCACGCTCAACTCTAGGTTTTCAAATGTTTGATTGAAAAAATAGCTAATTGTTTATTTTACAACAAAGTCGAATGCAAATATAACAATTGTAATAAAAATATTTCTTATGATTTAAATGTACTTTAAATAGATTTAACTTTAATTTAACAGTTTTTAAAAACTAAAGAATTATAAACTATGAACAGCATTTGTTATGTTTTAATGTCGTCTTTCTGTTTTTATCATTTCTGGGTCCATTGTATCAATATTCAATATTAAAGTATATATATACAGGGTGAGTCAAAAACAAAGTGTGATTTGCGGCGCCTGGTGAAAAATTGTACCTTTTTTAGTGCAACTCTCATGTATGGTGTTTTTTCAATATTTTTTGAAAATTTGTAGTTTTATATGGTACTTCAATTGCCTAAAAAAAATCCGCGAACATTTTTTTCTATAGAAAAAATCAAAAGTTCAGAAAAACAAAAATGTGTAAATATACTATTTCTATCGATATCTAAAATTTTAAAAATATTGAATCACAGAATCTCAAAAAATTTGCAAAATTTTTATTATAAACTTTGCAATTTTCAGTCTGGTATAATTTTTACAAAAAAATTGTTTTTCAATAGTTTTAAAGGTTTCAACTGAACAGCGTATATTTGATACTTTAGAATATACTAAGAAGAAAGGAACTAGCGAATTTAAATAGTTTTTCCTTAAAAATTAGACCAGAACTAAAAATTGCGAATTTTCCCATTACAATTTTGCGAATTTTCTGTGATTCTGTAATTCAATCTTTATAAAATCACACTTTTTCGACTCACCATGTATAAACTTTAAAGTGTCTCAATGTCTTGGTCTGAATTAAATTAGTTTTAAATTAGTTTTAATTTTAATTTTAATACTTGTTTCTTCAATTTAGTTTTCAAGAAGAGAAAGGCAAAATTCTCATAGATTTTTGCAGGAGACTGGAAAGCTTGCAACCTTAGATCACCGTGTGCAAAGTTTTTCTACTAAAATATTTAAAGTTTAATCTTTAGCAGCTTACAATGTTTTCCAGTTGGGGGGGGGGGG